CTTGGCTTAGGGCTTAGGGTTTAGGGTTTAGGGTAAAACCTGGACTTGGGTTCTTACGTTTCTGAACCCTTAAGCCTCGTGAGGTTCAATGCATCATTTGGGAAATGTTTTTCGTGGTTGCTTCAGCTGCCATGATTGTGGGAGTTTGGGGTGTAGGGTGCGGGCTTACGGTTTGAGTTTAGGGCTGGTGCTTCAGGATATGGAAATTCTGCCGAGAACTTATGTCCTTGCTTGCAGGGTTTTTGTCCGTGTATGGGGGCCTGAATGATTAGTTGGAATATATGGTGAATGTGGCTTCGATTTCCAGGAAACTTGAGAAATTTGATTGGCAATTTGTTCAGTGCATTGAACCCCAAACCTTAAACCATCTTAAACCCTAAACCTCAAATCACGAACCCACAGCCCCTGAGCCGCAACCGTAAACGCTGCAGGGCCTCGCTTGTTCCAATTCAAGTTTCTCGCAGTCCCCCATCCAACGAAACATGGTTTAGTGTGTAGGGCCACTGACAACGATGATGCCACAGATAAGTGCGAATGACCCGGACAACGAAAGTAGAGACCAAGTAGGACATGACAATCAATCTGTAGTCGATATCTGCTAACGTTGTGATATACCCATCCGTCGCCCTAAACCCAAACTTCCACACAGGCCAACGACGCCGGGTCGCTGTTGAGGCGATGGGTAGACCCAGTTTCCGGTTTCTCCGGTCTTCGGTATGGAAGAGACCTCTCCTCACCACCGACGGAAGAGAATTCACAGGGTCTTGCTAGGATTCCAAAGCGGGGTTGGTATATAAGGGGTTCTAGTACTTAGCACCCCTTTATTCGATAATTCAGGGGCTGTGTGAGAGAGTCTCAGGGTGCTGAGAAGTGTTGCTATGGGGTTCCACAAGGTTTAGAGCGCGGGGTTGGGGGTGTAGCATGTAGGGTAATGGGTTACCTCCCCAATACTGCGGGGAAGGAAAAACTATAATATCAAAGAAATGGTTGGTGGCTATAGAATGCAACACAACTGAAGTGCGGTCTTGGAGATACGGCTCTGCAGGTATTGAAAAGGCAGGAGGCCGTAAAGATTCAACGTGCTCCGCGGGGCATCAAGTTCGGCAGCAAGGCCTTTTCAGACTTGTACTTGGAGGTTCAATTGTAGTTATATCTGGGGTTATAAGTCACCTAATATGGGCTAGCACTATAGTTCCGCTACTCCTATAAACCCACTTGTAACTACCCATGAACCGATAACCCCTGAAAAGACCTGCTGAACCCATAGCTTACCTTTGGTTAGTAGGGAATGGAAGAATGGTAGAAATAGTAGTTATGGTACCCCATTCCTCCAGTCCCTGCTAACCAAAGGTAAATTAAAAGGGCGAAAAAACGAGTTTGGCCTTGGAGTTTAGGCTTTAGGGTTCAGGTTGGAGTTTAGGCTTTAGGGTTCAGGTTTTGGAGTTTGGGGATCATTAACTAAGGATCTTTTGGTTTAGGGTTGAGGGCTTAGGCCCTAAACCCCTAAAAACCCGGGAAAACCCTGAACCCGGCTCAGGGTGCAGGCCAGAAGCGGTCTTTATTCAGGTCCATCGTCTGTGACTCTGCCCGCGTTTGCGGCATCTCCGGCATCATGTTGCGCGGGTTGAGAACCTATTGAGGATCCCCCTCCCAGAGGGCTTGATGAGGGTTTAGGGTTTAGGGTCTAGGGGTTTAATGTGGGGTATGGGAATCAGACGGGCTTCATGAGCCCTGAGAGTGTTTGTTTTTGTTTGAGACTCTTCGTCAGGATCGATTGCCCTGAGCCATACACCAAGCTTGTTTCGGGGCCATCTTGTAGCAGGATTCGACAAAAGCTATTCAGGGACTCCTGTCTGAATAATCGGCGATCTACATGAGGATACTACATGTCCAGTATCCTAGGAGAACAAGAGGTTATCCTTTGGAAATAGCATAGGGAGCATGTGCCCCAAAAAGGTTGGAGGTCACCTACTCTAATACTAAGGAATGCCTATGAAGTTCAAGAAGGGTTCGTTCAATTAAGGCTTCAAAGCTTCGACTGAGGTTATGAGCTCGCCAAACCCCGTGTCCATGTTGTGGAGTGGAAGGCGCAGGTGAAGTGCCTGAAGGATTCTAGTTTGAAGCTAACGATCGTTTGGGGGTGTAACCCTAAGGGTCCAAAGGACCCAATAATCAGGTACTTGGGTTTAGGATAGTAGTTATGCAGCTCAATATTTATGAGAGTATATGATTATTAGGTACTTGGACCCTTAGGGTAAGGTTTAGGGAATTTGGGGTTCGGAGCTTGCGGCATTCGGGGTTTTCGAGTTTTGGATTGGTCGGGCCTCGGGTTGAAGGATGAGCTGTTTAGGGGATTGTGCCCTACTTGGAGGATCATGGGACGTAGTAGGGTTATACATACCTTAACTAATGTTATATGTAAGTATAACTGCAGTTACCTGACTTATAACCCCAACTACTAAGTCCCATGATCCTTTAAGTATGTCGTCTCGGGCTCGAAGGACATGAATAACGTTGGCTGCCAGGACCTTCTCGACAGCAACTTGAAGCGAATGCTCTCTCGAATAAACCTTTCCCCCCAAACTAGAATCCCTGAACCCCTGCCTGACATTTACAACCCCAAAACTTCATCTGTCTGGTTCTTAGTAGGGAATGGGGAATTGGGTTATGGTATCCATTCCCCCATTCCCTACTAAGCACCAGACAGTCCTTGCTCCAAAAGTCCTGTTATCTCCCAAAATCCTGTTTGTACAAGGCCGAAACAACACCAACAAAGCCCAGTTACCTCGCCATTTGCCGCACGCATGGGGCCTCCGTCCCACGAAGGACCGGGCTTTTGGCCCTATTTGGGGGGTTTAATAGGGCCCTCAAAAAGCACATAAGTAAAAAAAACATAGGGATATCCCATATAAACCCCCCTATAATGAAGCCCAATAAGGCAGGGATCTGCACAGTAAATCCCATAAAGTTGGAGACCGCATTCAGGCCAAATTGTGCTGGGATTCCTTACACATTACTTTTAAGGATTGAGGCTATGGGGTTTCCAACTTTTGGGCTTCTACTGTAGGGTGTTATCATGGTTTCGTTTAGCGGTTACGGTTCGGGATTTGGGATTTGGGGGTTTAGACTTTGGGCCTCGTGTTGGGTGAAAGGTCAGGTTGGAGTTTCGGGTGATTGCATTCAGGGTTTGGGCTGGTTTCCCAAGCCACTATAGTTTCGGAAACAAGGATACATGCAAACACACGAAAGCGCACAGGCACACACTCACTAATCAACTAAGCACAACAGTAACAGCAATCAGAGTCATAGCATGTCTTCACAAATACTTTTAACAGCACGCAACCTTAATCTGAGAGTAGTAGAAGGATGTGTACGTATATACTACATCCTGTAGCACGTAGCATAATCACGAACGGACTGGAGCAGGATTTATAGTTATCAGGGGTCCACATTAACCCTTGTGACTCACGACACTGAACCTTTCGGCTAAAACTCTGAAAACCCTAAACCCTGAACCCTAAACTCTGAAACCCTAAACCAAACCTTCAAGTCCCCATGCCGACCCAAGAATCGGAAACCCAACCCCCCCCCCACCCAACGCTAAACCCTAAACCCTTGTTTGCATATAGCTGCATTTCTTAAACCCTACCCACAAAAGCAACCCCCCGCAACTCAAAACCCTAGCCTTCCCTAAACCAATCGTTTGCATATACCTAGAGGCTCCATAGAGTTCCTTGTTGGGGCTCATGTTCAGAATGAGCCCTATAAGGCAATCCCAAAAAGGATCCCCCGGGGTCGGGGTATAGGTAAGTCCCTGGCACTCTGCCGGCGCGGGAGTCGGCGCCGGCTCCCGAGCGCCCCGCAAGGGGCATCCGGAGGAGGTCATTGTTCGAGCAAGCCGGGCTCAGGGCTCCTTTGACCCTTCTGGGGTTCTAGAAGAGATCTGTAAGGGATATAATAGGGTTGATCGAGGGCTTAAGCTTAGGGTTGTAGGCCTTTCTTACGGGCGTGAGGCTTTGCGTTCTGAAGGATAATAAGGGTTCAGCTTGCTCTTGATAAAGGGTGTTGGCTCTTTTAGGCTTCGACGTGAGGAGTTTACGGTTGAGGGCGCAGGGTTGGGAGTCACCATTACGGTCCATGCTGTCGTGGGAGATACGGGCTCTGGGGATCTGAGTTTCGCGGCGCCGGTGGGATTTGGGGATTCTTGTTGTGACAACCCTTTCACGGCTGTTCGCTTCGAGTCGTCTTGAGCAGGATGGCTCTAGCGATCGACTGCATCTCACGGATACGTGATATAGGGGCCTTAATAATTAGAATAGGGTTTTGGGGGCCCATTAGACTATAGTCAGAATAAGGAACCCCCAAAATAGTATTGGTAATTGTTTAGGCTATATTACTTCCAGCCTGATTGGTTGCATCATGGTCATATGTCATGAAGTCATCTTCATCTCCTGTCCGACAGTGTCATCATCATCGTCGTCACTATCATCATCATCACTACCATCATCGTCATATGCACCTCCACAACAACAACGTCGACCGTGTCTTCGTTCTCCTCAGTACGGCCTGTTGAAACCAGGATTTGTAACGCTAATTCCTTAACCCTAAACCAGGGCAACACATGCGATAAGAAATCGCTCTAGATTAACCAGCCAGTGCTTTTGGGGGTTCCCTTACCTCTTTAGCTCCTTATTTAGTAGGGATTATCATCATCCCTGTCTCCTTAGCTCCCCCACTATCAATGGTTAGTTAACATTTAGATGCTCACTAAACCCAGGGACCAGAGAAAGACTTGGAGAGTTCACGGCCTCAAAGCTTCAATTCTCGCGCTGTCCAACTCAGGACAGGCAGCGGGCAGGGGGGTTTAGGGGGCAAATGTCCGGATCCTGGACAGCAGGAAATTTCTCATTGCCATGCACAAGTATGGTCATATGTGTATACGAAACCCAAAACCCTAAACCCCGCACCCATTTCCACAACAATCACTCCGAGGTTGCTGCGTGACACGACGCCGAAGGTGATGAACCCCACCTTGGGACGTCGGAGATCTTCGAGAAAATGCAGAGGCCCCTTTGCCAAGCATGTCTAGAGTTGAGATTTTAGGGTTGCGGGTTTAGGGAGGGTTCAGGGTTTACGGTTGAGAATACCCTAAACCATGACAGACTGCCTCCATCAAGAAGCTTCTTCTTTCTCCGAGGCATGCAGGGTTTACCGTTTCAGAGACCAGGGCCTAGGGTCTAGAGTTACGGTTGATGATACAAACCCTGCATGACCTTAATGACCCTAAACTATGGGATTTATGGTATATTCCTTATTCGTTATTATGGGTAATGCGGGATGTATATCATCAACCGCAGTAAAGCACGGGGCTCGGGCTGCCAGGTTCCGATTAGACACGATGATGGTAGCCAGCATATGATGATGTCGCCGATGAATCTCATATAAACCCTTGTTCCCTACCGTTCAGCTACACAGCGGACCCACAAACAGCAAGAGGAACTAAGGGTACCACTTGGGAAGCTAGATGAATGCGATCACCACTACTACGAGCTTCTGGCGGTTTGGGGGCCTGTACCCCGAACCCCAAGCATTCCAGGCCTTGATTTTGGGAAGCTCTGCTTGAAATACATGAAACCCTAGACCTAAGAGTAACCTAGGAATAAAAAGGGTGCTCTTTTTGGTTTACAGGGAATTATAAGGGAACCTGAACCCTAAAAAAGGGAATAAGGGCCTACTCTAGGTCCTAGAACCGCTCCTGTAACAATAAAGGTAATTACCCTCTTCCTACCAGTTGCAATGATAAGGCAACGCTGCAACAAAAGGGCATGAGGTTCCTTTTATGTCCCACTGCGGACCTAGACATTCCCGGCCTCAACAACAAAAGCAGCTGCGCTAATTGCGAGAAGGACCACACCCTTTACCACCCCTTTCAGGACGCGACGGTAAGGATGCAAAGGACCAGAAGGATAATGGGAGACCTTGGCGCAAACAAAGATTCTTGTGGTTTTTGGTGAAGCATAAATGTGCTTGAGAGGTTCTTGCAGGGTTCCATCTACACGTAAGGGTTTGGGGTTTGGGGCTTCATTTTTCGATGGCAGGCATCGCCGCGTTTGGCCTTCAGAGGGTGGCGTTGTAGCGCAGGCATCATCTGCAGCCCAAACTCTGCAAACGGAAGCCTATAGTCCCATAACTGTACCACGCCCCGATACACCCGAGGAACATCTTCAAAGCTGACACCCTGCACCCCAAAAGGTTTAGGAATTTAAATTTAGGGTCAGAAGGGTTTAGAATTCTTTAGGGTCATGGGGAACTTAGGACCTTACCAACACTCCGCAAGGTTCGGGGATTCAGGCTCTTAGGGATTCAAGATGGTTTAGGGCTTAAGGTTGTAAACCCCATTAACACAATCATCGCTCGGGCTCCCAGCGTGGGCATACAGCTGGGCTCCTGCGCTAACTTCGGAAGGTTCGCTGACTTTCGGCTTTGCGGCTTTACACAAGCTTTCTCGGGGTACTATGTTACTATATAGTATATACCATTAACAAGAAAGGGCACCCGAAGAATGAGATCCTGTCAAGCTTGTGGGTTCAGGGTTTGCAGTTTGGGCTTTGGGTTTAGGTTCGGGGTTTAGAGTTTACTTCCTCTCAATCGGAAACACTTCTAGAGGCATCACTACATTCCTCTGATTAATTACACTCCCAAAACGGAAAAAGCTTACGGCTTTGGGGCTTTGAGGCTTAACTCAAGGCCCCCTTTAGCCCGAACCATTGATCCCCCAACGCTCAAAAGCCGTGAACGCTGAACCCATAAAATCCTAAACCCGTAAAAGCCCCCAAAGCTTAAAGGTTACCTACTCTACTATGAAAAACACCAAAAAACCCTAAACCCCTGAACCCTAAACAAACCCTCAATCCCAAACCTCAAACCCTAATGTAGGAACCTGATTAAGAAACCCTGGTACTATAACCCCAAAAGAGTAGGATTCATGAAAGGAGCACTAAAAACGGCCCAAGGCTTCTTAATCAGGTTCCCACATTACCCTTGTAGTACCCTTATAGATCCCATATAGTAACCCTTACAGTACCCTTTAAAGGAAACCTTATAAACCCTAAACCCTACACCCGGAACTCCAAACCCCAAAAGCCCCGGCCCTAAGCCCTAAAACCCTAAAGCCCTAAACCCTAAACTCCTAAAGCCTAAAACCCTAAGCCCTAAACCCTACACCCTAAACCCTGAACCACTGAAGCCCCTAAAGCCCTAAACCCCCGAAGCCCCTCAAGCCCTAGAGCCCTAAAACCCTGAACTCCTAAAGCCCTAAAACCCTAAACCCTTAAAGCCCTAAACCCTACACCCTTAAACCTAAGCCCCTAAAGGCTGCATCTCCCCTACAGCCCCGGCTCTCCCAGGCGCAGTGCCCACAGATACAGCCGCACGTGAGGAGCCCCTCGGGGAGTATGGAGCTTTGGGCTGAGGGTCGAGGGTTTATAACTTATAGGGTTTAGGGTTGAGGGTTTATAGGGCTTATAGGGTTTATGTTGTTTGTAGGGTTTATAGGGCTTAGGGGGTTTAGGGTTGAGGGTTTATAGGGCTTATAGGGTTTATGTTGTTTGTAGGGTTAACAGGGCTTAGGGGGTTTAGGGGTTTAGGGTTTATAGGGCTTATAGGGTTTATAGGGTTTATAGGGTTTACAGGGTTTAGTTTATAGGGTTTAGAGGGTTTGGAGGGTTTAGAGGGTTTAGGGTTAAGCGTTGAGGGTTGAGGGTTTAAGGGTTTGAGGTTGAGGGTTTAGGGGTAAGGGTTTAGGGTTTAGGGTTGATGGTAGAGAGTCTTGGGGTTTGAGGGCGGGCTTTGTGGTGATTATACCAGAGCAGATACTCAAGAGTTGCCGTGGGGTTTCTTGTTTCAGTCCTCAGACTAATGTTTGGTGGTGCTCGCAAGAAGACCCAGGCCTTTCTTCCTTTGATAGATTCCCAGGCCACTGTAATCGACGCCGCAACCGGAAACAAGCACCAACATTCCTACACTTATGGCAGACTTAGCCGCAGCAACAGCAGCAGAACCGTCATTCGCATTTCGCTTCGTCAGCATGGGTCCCAGCACTCATGAATCCCTGCCCAGTTCAGACGGTGTGGCTCTTGAGGGTGCTTGCGCTTCGGCATTCTTCGGGTTCTTTGTCTGTTCAGGGGATTCGGAGGTTGGTGTGCTTTTCAATGAGGAATGAAGGCACCCTACAACCTGTATTGCGGCTTTTCCTTGGCAGTCTATCGCTTACGTAGGACCGGAGAACCCTTCATGAATACAAAGAAGCCTCCAACCCTAGACTCCTTAAACGTTTTGTTAAAGTCCTCAGCAACGGAATCCCTCAAATCGCCAAAATAAGCCACAAAAACCCACACTCCGAAGCGAGGGGGGATGCTTGATCTCTCCAGTTGGATGTAGCGTTCTCAGGGCTTGGTTCGGAGGGTTTCGGAGGTAAAGCTCTTTAGGGTTTAGGGTTTAGGGTTTAGGGTTTAGGGTTTAGGGTTTAGGGGTTTAGGGTTTAGGGTTTAGGGGTTTAGGGTTTAGGGTTTAGGGTTTAGGGTTTAGGGTTTAGGGTTTAGGGTTTAGGGTTTAGGGTTACTTGGCGGCTCGGGGGGGGCAGTACTGGACTCTTGGTCGGGAACATAGTTCGAGCAAGTTACCTTAATAGACAGCTGTAGTGGATTAGATGGCCTCATTTGCCTACAACTAGACCCTAAACCCTAAACCCATTAGAAGAGCTTAGATGAAACTCCTCAACACGAACCCAGACGAGTTAGAGCAGCTTCTGGCGGGACTAGTATTCGGAAGGCTAGGATTTACGGCTCCGCGTTTTGGGTTTAGGGTTTAGGGTTTAGCGTTTAGGGTTTAGGGCGGTAGGTTCTCAGTGAAGTCTTTAGCAAGCAGACCACCAAGCCAGGTTGTGAGCTTGGGATGAACACACTCATTGCCAGACCTGTCCACTGTGACCATCGTCAGGTGGCCCGAGGGATGGACGAGATCACGGAGCGCCAGCTAAGGTCCCTGCTGCCATCATCAGATCGCTGGTAGACCGTGCGAAGGCAGGAGAGAACCCTGGGTAACTTCGCCAGCGCTTGGAGACGCGCCTTCCATATCGCTGTGAACTCCTGAGGCTGGAGGACTCTCACCACTTCCGGAGCCGTCAAGGACTGGAGATCCGCCACAGCCACCACCCAATCGTAGAATTCCTTCTCACCACAAAGTTCTTCCATAGTGGGAGGGGACTCTTCTGGCCCCGGTTTGAGATTACACTACATAGTTACAACCATGCCTTACAACCTACTTACTAAGTCCCTTAATCCTGTAAGCTCTTTGTGCAGGGTACTAAAAGCAAGTCCTGGATCCTTTGCCCTAACCGAGGAATCCTGAAAACCCCTAAACCCAAAACCCTGAGTCCTGAACCCTAAACCCGAAAATACTGAACTGGAGGCCAAAGAGCCACCACCACCCCAGCTAAGAGGAGCAGGAAGGGCCTGCCGCGCGAGCAGCTCGCTGTCAGGGTTTCTAAAGGGGTCTACAAGTTCAATAATCCGGTATACGGCTTTAGGGTTCTACAAGGGGGGTGTAGTGCTTCAGGATTTCGGTGGTAGAGGGGTTTAGGGTTTCAGGTTTAGGGTCATAGGGTTTTTTGCTTCTGTGCAGTGCGGAGCAGCCCGGAGAGCAGATAACATCTCTCCAACGGTAAAAGGAGGGACCCTTAATAAGGACCCCTAGGCATATACCCTTAATATAGCTATGATATACCCATTATATAGCCCCATTATAGGGTAGGGGTCCCTCCTTTTCCCCTTTGAATCTCATCTTGAGGTTAAGCAGGAGCAGATTTGCTAAACAGAGGTCTAGTATCGAGCCTGAAATATGCTGAACCCTGTACACTAAACCCTAAACCTTAAACCCTAAACCTTAAAACCTAAACCCTAAGCCTTAAACCCTAAACCCTAAACCCTAAACCTTAATTCAACCCTAAGCCTTAAACCCTAAACCCTAAGCCTTCAAACTTTAAGGGTGTCTTCCCTAAAGCAAGGGGTACTGGCCATCAGCTCTCAGGCTTCGCCTTGTTCAGGGCTGTTGGGGTCTAGCTCTTTAAGGGTTCTTTCCTTTAAAGGGTTCTATAAGGGTTCCTTTAAATGGTTCTATAAGGGTTCCTTTAAATGGTTCTATAAGGGCTCCTTCCTTTAAAGGGTTCTATAAGGGTTCCTTTAAATGGTTCTATAAGGGTTCCTTCCTTTAAAGGGTTCTATAAGGGTTCCTTTAAATGGTTCTATAATAAGGGTTCCTTCCTTTAAAGGTTCTTTTTGGGTCCTTTAATGCACTATAAGGGTTCCTTAAAAGGGTACTGTAAGGGGATCTATAAGGGTACTATAAGGGTAATGGAGGAACCTGATTAAGAAACCTGGGGGGCCTTTATCAGGGCTCCTTACGTGAATCCTCCTTCTGCTTTAGGGGTTACGGGCCTATGGTTTCTTAACCAGGTTCCTACATTAGCAGTTTGAGAATTTAGGGTCTGCAAGCCTGCTAGGAAGGATTTAGGATTTGTATTCGGATAGACCAAGCGTGTAAGGCCACAAAAGTTTACATATAAAGTTCTCCCATTGGATATCTAAGAACCCCAAATGCAAAACCCCCAGTTCAAAAACCCCTAAACCCTAAACCCTAAAGTTCGCCTCGGCCCCGGCCGAAGCGGTCAGAGGTTCCTATTCGGATTACCCCCCCCCCCCCCTTTAAAATGGAAACGTGTCGACTAGCCCCAAGGTCCGGTGGTGAATTCTCGCCCCCTCCAACGGATTTTGGCAGTCTGCAGGCAGTCCCACCCAGTTTTCCTCCGTCCCCCCCTCCCCCTCCCTCCCTCCCCTCGCCCCCGCTCCCCACCCTCCCCCCCTCCCCCCCCCCCTCCCCCTTCCGCCTTCCCTCCCGCCCCTCCTCCGCTCGCTGACAGGTGCGAGCTTTCTGGAGTTTTAGCTTGTTTTAGACGCCCTTGCGTTGGGATAGGCGGAGTAACGTGGTTGAAAAGGGTCTGATGCTTCCCTACCAAGACGCCCACGAAATCCACAGCCTCAACGGCCCATACTTAAGGCATCCCGCCGCTTGCGAGAGTCTTGGTATCCAGTGTTTCGGAATGACGACACCAAAATTCGTACTGATACTACCACTACTAATACTACTCACAATCATCCTGCTTCGTGTTGCTATGAACATTACTTTTACTATAAGTGCGATTCCAACTGTTACTTTTTTCCTACAAGAGCTTGCTGCAGATAGTAGCCACTCGCCGCATGCGCGTACAGCCGGGCCGAGGCGGACGACGCGCAGCGTTTCAAATTCAAGACAAGCAGGCCGGCAACACCATTTCGTAGAGCCGACAACGAATTCGTGCCACTCCTCTGCCGTCGCCTTTTCCACGGCAATGCTAGTGGGTAGGGTTTAGGGTTTAGGGCTTAAGTCAGTTTTTTGGGGTTCAGGGCTCAGGGTTAAGGTTTGCAAGTTCAGGTTCAGGCTTCAGACTTCAATTCTTGTAAGTTCCAAACTCCAATCGCAAACCGAACCGAAGTCCCCTTCAGCGCTGATGACGCCGCAACTGCCACACAAAGCCCTGAACCCCCCAAACAGGTCTAGGGAGTTTGGGGGTCCTTGTGTTGCTGGATCCCGAACCCTCAACCCTGAAATCCGAACCCTACCTAGACCTCCTCCAGGACTCTACGCCTCTCATGTGGGGATATGGCCACCTGTAACATGTCATAGCCCAGCGCTACCGACACTGCCTTACATTTGGCCTTGTTATCGCAGCCAAAACCCAAAAGCCGAAAGTGTAAACCGTACTTGAAGGGTCATGGGACTTAGTGACTTAGTAAGTAAGGTTATAAGTACTAAATTGGGGTTATAAGTATAGTTACCCTAAGTATAACCCTAGTTACTAAGTCCCATGATCCTTTAAGTAGCCCATGCCATGGGGCGCAGTCGTACCGACCACATGCGACCAGTCATCGACAGCCACAGCTCTGTTGGCCAGTGTCTCCCGCGCTTTCCGGATGCCGAGATGCATATCTGCGTGCCACTGACGAACGGCTTCAAGAGTGGCTGGCGCACCGACTTCCTCTGCGATTTTGTAAATCATACGGCTTGTGGGGGCTGTCCTTCTTCCACTCAGACCAGTGCTTGGACAGCACGCCCACGGTAAGCAATGCATAGTTCCCAAACAGGAATCGATACGTCCCGTCGAGGCAGAGTTTAACGTTCTCCGGGTTGCTCAGCCTACGGAATGTCTCTTTGATGAGTGTCGGGCACAGCAGGGGAATACAGGTGTTCATTCCAATGGGCAACAGACCGTCAAATGTCCGGTAAGAAACATCGGGGGCTTGTCAGTTGTTGCCTTGAGACCCGATAAAGCTGCGGGGCCTGCCTGGTATGACACAAAAGAATGCCACCCTGAGCACTAACCCTTGCCCTCCAAGCTTCAACCCTCAACCTAAACTCAAAAAAGCCTAAAGTCCTTAACCCTCAACCCTAAACCCCAAAAGCCCCAATCCCCCTAAACCCTCGACCCCTTAAATCCTAAGCTTTGAAACCTCAACCCTCTAAACCCCGGCGAAAACCCCATAAGCCCCAAATCCTAAACCTCAGACATCCGGAATCCCAAACCCTCAATCAAAGGGGAAAAGGAGGGACCCTTAATGGGGACCCCTACCCTATAATGGGCTATATAAAGGGGTATATAATGGCTATATTCAGGGTATATACCTATAGGGGTTTTTAGTAAGGGTCCCTCCTTTTACCCTCCACAAGCCCTAAACCCTACACCCGTGACCGCGTAAAGCCCCCAACCCCTAAGCCCTAGGACCCTAAAAGCCCCTGAAAACCCTAAAATCCCTAAAGCCCTGAAATCCTAAAACCCTTAAAAACGCTAAAACCCTAAACCCTATCACCCTAAAACACTGAAGCCCAAAAACCCGAAAGCCCTACACCTTCAAAGCACTAAAACCCTAAAACCCTAAATACCAGAGCCCTAAAACCCTAAACCGCAAACCCTAAAAACCCTGAAAGCCCTAAAACCCGAACAAATCTCAAAACCTAAAACCCTAAACCCCGAAAAGCCTAAAACCCTAAACGCCCAAAAACCCTAAAAGCCCAAAAACCACAAAGCCCCAAACACCCGGGCCGCCGAGCGTTGTACGGCAGCTCTGGCCCAAACTCTGCCAGTCGCCGCGCCTTAAACAAAACTGAGTTCTTGTTAAGAGATTTAGTTGAAGTTAGTCTATACCCTCCTTAGAACGATAATAAACATAATGGTGTTAATATTCTCTTGGGTTTTATATGAACGAAAATAAAAAATACTTCCTAAGGAGACTATAGTAGTAAGGAAACCATGTTATTCTTTACTATAGATCCCTAGTATGGTAATTAAGTTAAACTCCTGAACAAGAACCCAGAAAAGAAGAACTGCTTTTTCGAAGAGAACTTTGGGCTTTGTTCGTTGAAGTGTAGTGGCCTTTCTCTCTCGCCCACCTCAGGGCAACATATTAGGGTTCAGGGTTGTTGTAACTAACCTCATATAGTATAGTTAATCCACAATATTAATGAGCAATGCAACTGAGCATAAGATCATGCAATATACTATACGGTAATACGATGTAATGTACCATACTATGAAAAGAGTGCTGTCTCTTGAAAGACAACTTATGGGCTTGGGGTTTAGGGTTCATAATTGAGACAGGGATGCTTGTTGTTCTAAGGGTTGCTGCTGTTGGTTCAGGGTCCTACTTGTCGGGTATCATGGGGAACTAAAGGACAACCTTGTTGGCTATATAGGGATTATGTAGGGACTATGCCGGCAAAAAACAGGTTAAAGGTTCCCTACTCGACTACTACGGGGTTGTTAGGATTGTTTGCCGGGGATGGAAATCTTGCGTCTTGGTTCACAACCCCAACGACTCTGAAACCCCGTTGACTCAGGAATCTTCCCTACACTATGCTGATGACCCCTACATTCAGTCAAAGTATATATTCCTTGATTCGGAGGTTTTGGAATCTCTGGGCAACTACGACTAGCTCAGCACGTACGTTCTGAACACTATCTGTGTCGGTACCAGTACTTTGCTTGCAGGCTGAGTCAGTGCTACCTCATCGGATGGAGCCCTGACACATAGACGGCACTGCCCTGAAACCTAAATCTCAGTCCTAAGCTCCAAAACAAAAAAGAAGCCAACTCTCCAAGGGTAAAAGGATACCCTTAATATAGCTACTATATACCCATTATATAGCCCATTATAGCAAACCTTCTGCGATGTGGCCCAGCACCTGCTGTCCAAACCCCCCGACCTTGTCGACTGACACTGCTATTGTTTCTACGGCTATGCGCGGAAGGATTTGTCAGCGTGTCTACAAAATTCCTTTGAAAACCATGAAAAGAACCTTATACACCCGATTAAAACCAATACACCTGTGAAACCGTTGTGAAATCAACACTTGGCATCCCGACACTGTTGCTGACCGCATGCTTTGGCGGCCGAGCTCCCAGTTGACAGGTGCGAAACTTGCACTCCTGCCTAGGGCAGGAAGCTTTTAAAAGGGTCTTTAAGGGTTCTACCTGGATTTTATGCGTAGTTCTCTAAATTAGGCTACCTTTTCAAGTCACCAACACCCCTGCCTGAGGCATGAAGATGTTTAGAAGGGTCTTTGAGGGTTTTGCAAGGGTCTTTATGGGTAGTTCTCCGAATTTCTACATTAGGGTTTGTTTTTAAGTCCCGAAAATGGTACGCCACGAAGATGCTGACAAGGGTCCTACGGGTTTTGAAAGGGTCTATATGACTAGTTCTCTAGACTACGGTCCCTTTTCAAGTCCCCAAAACAGTACGGCACTCCTGCCCTAGTTGCTGAGTTCACAAGCCCCAAAAAGTGTATACCTTTAGTTTTATAGTGCGTCATATTATCCCAAAAAGTGTAAAGTGTATCCACTCAGCTACTAAGTGCCTAGGGCACGAAGATGTTCATAGGGGTCTTACGGGCTCAACCGGGGTCTCTACATTGGGCTCCGTGTAAGAGTCTATATTTGGGGTCATAAGAAGGCCTGTACATACTTGTACTATTTTTGAAGTGGACCTCATTAGCCGAATCTATATAGGGCCTGAGAGTTCAGGACCGGGATCTGCGTGTGTCTGTGTCTGTGTCTGCGTCTGTGTCTGTGTGTCTGTGTCTGTGTGCGTGTGTGTGTGTGTCTGTGTGTGTGTGTGTCTCTGTGTGTGCGTGTGTCTGTGTCTGTGTGTGTGTGTGTGTCTAAGGGCTGCCTGCCTCCTTGTACGACCACGGGAATTCATTAGCAAAAAAGCCATCAGTATCTGTATACTAAAGTCCTTGTAACCTCTCTCTCCCTCTTTCTCTTTATCTAAGTATATATGTATATACACACGCATAAGTTCATTAAGATCAGCCGGTTAGATAGATGTAGATTTTTACACGTATATACATTCTAGTATGCTGGTACCATTAGTACATATGCATGTGTATATATGTAACATCTATTGAGTTGCTTTTTTTATATGTGAGAGGGCGAGACACCGAGCATTATCTTTGGGTACCTGGATTTTGGATGGGCACTCGCGAAGACTCACTTATTATAACCCCCTGAACCTTAAACTCTAATGCCTGAACTCAAAAGCCTAAGCTCTAAACCGTAGCCGTACTACCTAAAGTCTAAACCCAAAAGACTACTTAAACCCACAACACAAAATGTAGGTTAGGATCTCTACAAGCCCCAGAATGCTAAACAATGAAGCGCTGGGTTTGACTCTCAATCCCCACACTGGGGCTTTACCTGCAGCCGGCGCTAACGTTGAGGCCTGAAGAACTGGTAAGTGTGCTAGCATTACCATCACAAAGCCCATTTCTAATGATTAAGGCCTCTATGTCATACCAGAATAATATACCGCTAGAATTGCCGTGACAAACACACGCACACACACACAGACACAAACTGTTACACTCATGGCAGATATCCACAAGACACATGATGCTCGCAATGACCCTTCTTTGAGACTATACTATGCTGATTGAAACCAGAACCCATCAGAAAACACCAAAACTCCTCGGCCCTGACGTTAAACCTAAACCCTAAACCCCTAAAGGGAACTCCCGAAAGTTGGAATATGGTTTCAGGGTAGGATACCCTATAATTTACCATAAAGGGTTTAGGATAATCATGTTCCAACTTTCTGGCTTTTACTTTAAACCCTAAACCCTGAACCCTAAACCCTAAGCCCAGAACCTTAATGGTACGCTTATAAGACCCTATCAGAGCCCTCAAAACCTTAACGCCCTCAACCCAGAGGCTCCAATATCCCTTAATTAAGGAACACTCCCGAAATTGTAGTAGGATCCCTAATATGATTTACGGTATATTCCTTAATTAATGGATATTGGAGTCTCTGGGAACCCCAAAAAATCCGAACTCTCAAACTGACGTCTATGTCGTAGAACCCCCCATGGAAGCTCTGGTGGAACCCTTGAGCGGAACCCTGAGAGAAAATTTCTGAACCGTGTCCTCAGGAATAATGCAAGTAATTATTTAGGCTTCTATAGTATAATATAGAAGCCTAAAGAAATACCGGCATTATTCCTGTGGGTTCCTTATGATAACCATATTATACAGGAGCCAAAACCCTATTCTAATTACTAAGGCCCCTACATTACAACCAAAACCCTGCACGCTGTTAGTGGCTGTTTGTCCAGTATCCTTGAAAACTAAAGGTTAACCTTTAGGAGTATATTATTGGGCTTATACAGGGCTTGTGGTACCTTGAAAAGGCTAAAATAAACCTACTCTACTACAACGACCCAGATAAGGCCCTAAACCCCACAACCAAAAACCTGAATAAACCCTAATTAAACCATAAATCCCCAAACCTTAAACCCTGAATAAACCCTAAACCCTCTGCTGGGAGCAGCTCTGGGCCACCCTACCCTCGAGCGCAGTAGCCTTTGCGACAGAAGCAGCTGCCGAGCGTGCACTTGGCGGACCACCTGGGCTTAGGGGTTTTGGGGGTTTGAAAGGTTCAGCGGTTTAGGGGTTCAGGGTTGAGGGGTTTAGGGGTTAAGGGGTTTAGGGGATTAGGTTGAGAGTTTGGGGTTTAGGGCTTTAGGCTGCATACCGTCAGAGCTTTTTTAACGAATCCTTGGGCGAAGCCATCTTGAATGAACTCTCTGTCCACCGTAGATCCGGGCCCCTAAGCCCAAAACCCGACTCTAAACCCTCTCAGTCCACACCCTGCAACCCTTGCAGGAGACCCTGAAAAAAAACCCTTATCTGAACCCCTAACCCCTAAACCCTAAACCCAGGAACCCTTAAATCAAAGGGGAGAGGAGGGACCCTTAATTGGGACCTCTACCCTATAATACGCTATATAATGGGTATATAATAGCTATATTTAGGGTATATACCTAGGGGTCCTTAAACCCTAAACCCCTAAACCCTAAAGCCCTAAACCCTAAACCCTAACCCCTAAACCCAGGAACCCTGAAAGCAAAGCCTCCATTTAGTAGGGCCCCACAAAAGCACATAAGCAAAAAAACGGGTAGGGATATCCCAGATAAACCCTCTTAAAAGGAAGACCCATAAGGTCGGGATATCCCCATAAAGTGCACATGCTTATGTGCTTTTTGGGTGCCTAATTTAGGATCATTCCGGGCCGGGTTCCCGAGCGGACACATCTGAGCTCCCGGAATCATGCAAGAGCCGACACCCTTGCTGCCACAGTCCTGCTCGGAATCAGGGGCTTGAAGGGTTAAAGCTTAGGGGTAAACCCTAAACCCTAAACCCCTAAACCCTAAACCCTAAACCCTAAACCCTAAAGTTCAGAGTTTAAAACTATTTTAAGCACCTTTTTCCGCATGCATAGACGGGTCTCTTCAGACTTTCAGTTCGGGGTTTAGGGCTTTACTACAGCAGGTGCCTTAGGGTGTAGGGCTCGGGGTTTCAGGTGTGTGACTAGATACGGCCATAGGGGGTCTACAGTAGAAGCCCAAAAGTTGGAAACCCAATAGCCTCAATCCTTAAGAGTAATATATAGGGAATCCCAGCACCGTTTGGCCTTAATCCGGTTTCCAACTTTATGGGATTTACTGTAGGGGATCCCAAGCTGTGCCCTCTAAAATGATGCAAGTCTTAACCCAAAACCTAAACCTTACTTCAAACCTTCAAGGTTTGTTCTTGCTTCCTTGGCAGTCATTCAAGGTCGAGCATATGAGGCTTCAATTCGCTTTAGGATATCATGGCTGAAGGCGCAGGGTTCTACTAGTGCTGCAAGAACGGGGGCGAAAAGGGGCTCCATGCTCGGGTTAGGGCTTTAGGGCTTTAGGGCTTTAGGGTTTAGGGTTTAGGGTTTAGGGTTTAGGGTTTAGGGTTTAGGGTTTAGGGTTTAGGGTTTAGGGTTTAGGCTCCAATGTTTCTGTCACTCGATGTCGAAGTAAAAGTAGGATTACCCCAACTCGGGTATGTGTAACTCGCCTGAGTCCCCATGCAGCTGTAGGAATATAGGAGGAAGTTGCAGCCCAAAACCCTAGCCCTAAACCCTGACCGTTATACCTTGTTCCAATCGCTCAACCATTTCACTAGCTTGCTTTTGGCCTGATGCAGGGGCCTTGAAAACTAGAACAGGGTTTGGGATATCTCACAGTATACTTATAACAAGGAACCGCACAATACTATTGGCAATTATTTAGGCCCCGACATTACTGATTCCCGTTGGCTTTCATTCCTTCATCTTGATCGGTTGAGCGAACATTCGAGACTGGATATCCGGATAATACGGCTTCTGGAGCAATTGCATTTTCTGACCTCATCCCAAAACACTTGGTGCACATCATGGGCATCTAATCGGTGCAGTAAACAAAAGTGTTAGCTAAAGTTTTGTGCTCTCCAATCGCGCCAATACTTGGTGAAAAGCATTCTGAAGCAATTTGCTTTCCGGCCATGTTGACACAGCAGTACTGCGCAAGAAAGCGATACGAGACGCGCAAACGTCGAAGTCAAGAGTCAGGTGTTGAACTGTCCATGTGGTTCGGGGTTTATGGCTTAGGGTGTAAACTCAGCCCTACACATGATACATAAACCCTCAACCCTACAATTAGCCCAGCCCCGCCCCACCTCACAGACGGGCGCACACTCCGGCCAGACACAGTTGGAGGCGTTGCTGTACTGGCAATGGCGTGTTCAGGGTACTTAATCTAGGGGCCTTAGTAATTACGAGTGCTATCCCTTAGGGCTCCCCATCATCGTTACTGTAGAATATACCCCCAAATCGAGTTCTACTTCTTTAGGGCGCAATATGACATTCCAATGCCTAAATCTCTTGTAGAACTCTTGAAGGAACCAGGTCTACTCGCTGGGAGGTATGATAGCAAAATTACCTGAAGGCCGAATAATGGACAGTGACACCATGGACAGACTTGCATGTGTACAGATATGTGTACATGTATATATATATATAGATGCACGTGTATATACACATGTTCCATCCAATGATATTGTGTTATATTACGGTATACTCTGGAATTCTATTCGGCTGTTTCATATTCTACGATGTTATATTGCATTATATGATATTGCAGTATACGACATTGTGCTATATGATATCATGTTATATCACGCTATATTATACTCTTAAATTTCCAAGCATACTATATTCTATTCCATTATGCTGTATTGTACAATAGTATAAATATTATACTACACTATGTTTTATTATATTATTATTCTACATTTTGTTATTATTACACTGTATACACTATACTAGACTATTACTACTGCTCTTACTACTACTTTTCCTATACTATATACTATATCAACATTACGTGTCTGGAGATATTATACACATTTCGGAATGGAATGCCTCGGGATTAGGATTCAAACCTAGAACTCGGGCTGTAAGTGTGGGATATTGCGTAGTGCGTTTAGGGTTTACGGCTTGGGGTTTAGGGTTCAATAACCGGGGCCACAAGAAGTTCAAGCTATCTAAGATAGACCAACTACGTAAGGCAAACAAGTTGAAAGCTCGCCCATTGGCTATCTCAGTTAGTAGGCCGCATCCGGTAATCAGGATCTTCATATTATCCAGGGAGTTTGTTCATCAGGATCGCCCCCTAAGAACTACTATGGATCCTCGAGGTACCAATCCTATTCTTTGGGGTTGCTCGTAAACCCTGGTAACTAGTCTGATTGTTAAAAGGCTCTCGCATCACGTGAGCCCCCTAAACCCTTAACCTTAAACCCTAAACCCTGTTTGGCAGTAAATCCAGAACACTAGCGGGAGCACGGGAGAAGGACAAAACCGTAACAATGGGCGATATTAATGAGTTTTTTTAGAAAGAATGTTGAGCAAAACAAAGGCCGGTAGGACAAAACAGTTTTATCGCCGCCCATTCCGCTTATGAATATCAAATGGACTTGTTTTTTATAAACGATATGGATGAAGAAAAGTTTAGGGTAGGTATGCTAATGATTGATGTTTTTGATAAGTTTATGCATGTAGTGACTAGTGCCGGTAAAAGGAAAAAGGAAGAGGATTTAGCGAGTGGAATGATTGAGTGTTTAAACAAGATGGCAAAGAAACGCGAGATAATTTATACAGACGACGAGGGAGCAATGAACAAGGAAGCAATACACAAGTATTTGAAGGATGAGAACATAGAATATCACAGAACAAGGACGCACCCAAATTTGAGCGAAAGAGCCATCAGAACTTTTAAAGATGTATTATATCGTAGAGTTGAAGCAGATGAGAAAAAAGGAAAACATAACATCCAATGGCCTGATTACATATTAGAAATATTATTAACCTATAATAATCAAATCAAGCACTCAGCAACGGGATTTACGCCAAAAGATGCCCGAAAATCCAGCAATCAATTCAAATTGAAATTTAATTTAACGATGAAGGGAAAAAAGAACCGTTTCTATCCCGAACTGGATGTAGGGGACGAAGTTTAAGATATTTAGGAAGCGAAAACCAAATGAAAAGGAACGCGTGGGAACTTACGGCCAAAATATTTATACCATAGAAAACTTGAAAATAGGTTAGGGCAAGATTATTATACAGTTGAAGGCATTGATCGGCAGTATTTGCGACTTGAGTTGCTGAAGGTTTGAGGGTGAGCACTCTCGATTTTCTTCCCGATCGCCGGACTCGACTCTTCCCATAAAAATTGCCTCCAAAGCAGACAAACTGACCATCTGTCCCCTCTGCGCAGCACAAGTATGACAATGACCCGCTAAACTGGTGCCAAATATACTGGCACGTAACACCGTCCATCATCATTGCGTCCAAAGCATACGAGCTGACCATCTGCTCGCACTGCACAAGTATGCGAAAAGCCTGCTGCGACTGCTAAAACTGGTCCCAAATCTGCTGGCGCGTCACACTGTCCATAATCGTTGCGTCCAAAGCAGACGAGCTGACCATCTGACCGCACTGCACAAGTATGAAAATTGCCTGCTGCGACTGCCAAAACTGGTCCCAAATCTGCTGGCATGTCACACTGTCCATAGTCGTTGTGGCCAAAGCATACGAGCTGACCAGCTGACCGCACTGCACAAATATGGAAATCGCCTGCTGCGACTGCCAAAACTGGTCCCAAATCTGCTGGCACGTCACTCCACCCACCACGGTTGAGTGATTCAAAGCAGACGAGCTGACCATCTGTCCGAATTGCACAAGTATGAGTAGCGCCCGCTGCGACTGCCAAAACTGGTCCCAAATCTGCTGGCACGTCACACTGTCCATAGTCGTTGCGTCCAAAGCAGACGAGATGACCATCTGACCGCACTGCACAAGTATGAAAAGTGCTCGCTGCGACTGCCAAAACTGGTCCCAAATCTGCTGGCACGTCACACTGTCCATAAGCGTTGTGTCCAAAGCATACGAGCTGACCATCTGACCGCACTGCACAAGTATGCGAAAAGCCTGCTGAGACGGCTAAAACTGGTCCCAAATCTGCTGGGACGTCACGCTGCCCAAAAGCGCAGTATCCTCCAAAGCACACGAGCTGACCATCTGCCCGCGTTGCACAAGTATGAAGGTCGCCCACTGAGACTTCTGAAACTGGAACGAAATCTGGTGGCAAACCGCGCTGCACATGTCCGCTGAATACGCTCTTCCTCACTACACAACTGTTGGAAACTCGAACATCTCCGGAACGTGGTGAGGATGCGAAAGTCCGAGTCCGTCTGTTCACTTTGCTTGGCCCCGCGAAACGTGACTGACCCTGTGTGGGAACGCACCAGGAGCCAGGACGGTCCGCAAGGAAAGACTGGAATGGCGCCCTTTGTGCCCAAAAGAACGAGGCAAATGCCAGGCCAGCTTTCATGGCCATTGAGAGATGGATGCAGGAGACCATTAGACACTTCCTCTATGTTAGAAATGCTCTAGTGAGGGTGCGGTTGAAACTGAAAACGGATTTTAGACCAGTAGCTCATGCTATGCTACAAGTATCGTTCTAGTTCGGTTCGACCTTGAACCCAAACCTTATTCCTATTATTGTAAAATTATTTAAGATGACCATTTCCATTTTCTAGGGTTAGGGATTTCGGGTTGATACTATCGGCTTCTTCTATGGGGGTGCGGGCATATGGGGTTTAGAGTGTTTTATTTCTATGTGGGTCTTCCTATGGTTCCATCATGTGGGTCTTAGGTTGGGATTTTTGGTGAGGTTAGGGTTGAGGCATAGGTTGTTATGGTGTGGGTGCTAGGGGGGGTTGCATGATTAGAAAATGGAAATGGTCATTGCTAGCTCTTTCAAAGGGGAAAGGGAGGGACCCTTAATGGGGACCCCTACCCTACAACGGGCTACATAATGGGTATATAATGGCTATATTAAGGGTATATACCTAGGGGTCCTTATTAAGGGTCCCTCCTTTTACCCTTGGATACTTGGAGGTTCATGGGTAGTTATAAGTGTGGTTAGAAGCCCTACTGTTGGGTATAAGTGTACTTACCCTACTTATAACCCCAAATGCAACTACTTATGAACCTCCAGGTAGACGCTTGCTCCCTTCGCCCCAAACTCTAAACCCAAGTTCCCTTAACACAAAAGAGGCTAATAAGTATCGTTTGTTCTTGTGTTGGGGATTGCTGTAGGATACTTATATGTAAGGAAACCTGAGGAACAGCATTGCTAAACAAACCCCCCACTCAAAGCACACAACCCCAACCCTAAACCTCCAAACCCTAAGCCCAAGCATTGAAAACCAAATGCCTAAAGGGTTAACCCTAACCCCTAAACCCCCAAACCCCAAACGTAGACTCAGAAAAGCCACCAGAAACAAAACGAGGCCCAGACCGAACCCGTGGCTCGTACGATGGAGGCCGCTGCGATGGACTCGTGGAGGGTCTTCTCTGCCTTCTCCTGGAGTTCCGGGTTCCTTTAAAGGCTTGTAGAAGGGCTACTATAAGCGAATCCGCTGGCGTTCTATCATACAGCGTTTACGGTGTAGGATCACAGTCTAGGGTTGCCTTAGGGGGTTTGGGGTTTAGTTTTTTCGGGGGATCCATGGCTTCAGAATTCAGTTTAGATTTAGAGTCTAGTGATGTAGCATGCATCAAAGGCTTTTAGGGGTTAAGGGTTTTGGCTTTGGGGGTTTTACGAGTTCAGGCTTGAGTTCAAGGTTTACGATTTGGGGTTTGAGACTGAGGGGCTTCAGGAGGGATGTTACCATCTATATCGGAGTTTCCGAAAATTCGGGGTGCCTTATTTGGGGGTTCTGATGATAAGGATCCTGCCATTTAGGGTAGTATATTAGGGTCCCCTGTTTGGGAACTCCCATAAAGGTCTTAGCGGGGCGACATGCCGGTTTTAGAGGGGCTTGTCAGGATCTGCAAAGGCTTCCTAACCGTGGTTGAGGAGTAGTTCTCTACATTAGGGTTCCGCCAAGTAGTACGGCACCTGCATAAAAAGGACCTTCAACGGGACCCTAATTCAGAGAACTACCCACAATCTGGGTTTCAGAAGATGTCATAGGAAGTCCGGAGGGTTGCCCGCGGTCAGACTTCGAGAGTATGGGAGTTAGCAAGTAGGGCGATATGTAAGGTAGCTATACTCATAACCCTCATTCAGGTGCCCATAACCCTACTTACTAAGTCCCGTGGTCATCTAGGGATATGAAAAGGGTTTCAGAAGGATCCTATGTTTCAAGGGAAACTGTAAGGCAAGCTGTCTAACAGTTAAAGTTTAATATAGGGCCAGACTGTGCCCTACTTCGAACAGGGCTTCCCCGGTTCTGTATTCGAGGCTCAGAAATATCATGTGGAAACCGCGATAAATCGTGGTACTAGTCAGTCAGCCTAGTTCCCCGCTAGCCACCCGATAAGAAAGGTAACCATTTCCCGATTGTTCAGTGCCGATAAGGAAACTCAACCATAGAATGGACCAAACAATAACAATCCTGCTGGAGATATAAAGTCTAAACTCTAAACCCTAAACCTAAAACCCTAAACCTCAAACCTTACACGCTAAACCCCAAAACTCTGAACCGTTGTTGGGAGTATGAGGACTCTCACCCGGGAGTTCAGAGTGTATATGCTTTTTGTACGGGTTGCACATCACAGGGGTCTGCGAGGGCTTTCTGTCGGTGTGTAAGACGAGGTTTTCAGGGCTTGGCGATTTCCGTGTTGGATGGTGTAGGTGTGTAGTGTTTCTATTTCAGTCAGTAAGGCCCCCACACTGGGGTGTGGGGTTCATCAAGGTGTTCTTTGTGAGGGCTTGTATCCCTCGCCCGCCTTAGGATTTAAGGTTTAAGGCCTTAAGGTTAGGGTTCTCAGTCACCTGTATAGTGGGCTTTAGGTTGCGGGTACTACTTTAGGGAACTGGGCGCCTGGGGTAGTATCGGTTAGCGGGCCCCCTAAACCCCAAACCATTACGATGATACGTGATGTGAAGGATTTAGGGTTTAGGGTCTTAGGCTTTCGAAAGTAGGGAAGCCAACCTGAGTAACAAATGGTCGTGTCCAACCAGCGCCCTGTCTGCCTCCACGTACAGCAGGGCTCTTGTGTGCAAACCTGCATTCGCTGGCTCCGGTTACGTAGTGGTCCTGCCAGCGCATGTTCATCCTGATGCAAACAAGCTGCTCATTCGTCATTGTGTACGACTTCCAGGTCCGCCGACGCCCAGCTGCGGCATTCGCCACCAACTTCTGGACCTTCATTGCCAGTGCCTGCTGGGCTTGCTGGAAGACCGACAAGTCAGCGCCCGCGCCGGTGGTGCCGCGCTGGACTGGCCCATCTCGGAGGGCAACGTCGCGAGATCCGACCTGGAGAGTGTCCAGGTCGGCGGCTGTTGACATGACTGCCTTCACCCCAGACCTTCCAAAATCCCTTAATTAAGGAATATACCTTAAATCATATTAGGGATCCTATTATAATTTAAGGTATATTCCTTAATTAAGGGATGTTGGAAGATCTGGGACATGAAAACGAGCATCCCCATCTGTGATGATTGCCAGAGCGTGCCGCGCCAGAAACGTCTCAAGGTGTCTCCCCAGCTTCAAGCCGCCTGCCGAGGTGCCGTTAAAAAAAGGCGCGATGTGCTTGAAGGATCAGGGACTAGGATACCCAGTAACCTAAGAATAAAAAAGGCCTCTCTTTTTTGGTATTGGGTGACTTTATAAGGAACCTAGGACTACAAAAAGGGAATAAGGGTACTACTGGGCATCCTAGGGGAACTTAGCAAATGAGGTTTTAATCGGGTTCCATGCAATGGGAGAGAGCTTCAGCTCGGGTAGAATGAATTCAATCAGCACTTACTTAGTACCTCCAATGAGCCTCCAAGTATAGCCAGCTCGTGGGCTGAGGGTTAGGCATGTCTTACCAGGTGGATGCGAAGGGATGTATTGCATTTTCATGAGGCGCAGGATACACAAGCATCCCTTTAAAACTTACCTGAGACGGTCGAGTTGAAGGGATCTGCAGGCAGGTAAGCGGTCGGATTGAGGTGATTCTTCTAGACGAGTGTTTCTGTCTTGTTATACTGCTGTTGGGTACAACGTCAAACACACAGGACTTTAGGGTTTAGGGTCTTGGGGCTTAGTTTAGCAGTTTTGATTTAAGGTTCTACGGTTATGGAGTTTAGGGTACAATGCCTTAGAGCTTAGGAAGCGCTGACTCTCCGTGCAATGCCTCATCGGTCAATGCGGCGGAAAGTGAAGCGCGAGCGACCAGCCTCAGAAGCCAGGAGGTAGTCATGCTTGCGGGCGTAGAGTACGCAGTCCTGGTCATTACTATCCCAACGGGTCCAAGTACTCCTTATCATAGGACCTTGGGGCCTTTTCAGGTATCAAAAAACGCGAATAAGGACTACTTGGACCCTTAGGGTATAGCAACCATCATCACCAAGAACAACTTCAGCAATAACACCACCATCACAATCACCATCACCAGCATCTCCATGAGCTCGGACACTCCTGAAGACCTGCAAGCTGGAGGACATCCTGTCAATTTACTCGAGGTGGAATGTCGAGTGAGAAAATACTGTCATCGGTACTCTGGGTTGGCCTGTAAACACCCTGAAAAATATTTATATATAGGGTCCCTTATAAACCCAAATCAGGAAAATCAAAAATATCCCAAAATCCAACCTAGTACTGTCAGTGGCGCGGCAGTCGATCCAAACGACCGCTCCCGACGGGTCCCAGACCGGCACTGGAACAAGCACGGCAGACTTGCAACGTCCAAGAATGGCGCTTATGATCACGCGTCCATGTTCCTTTCGGTTCTGATGACGAAACCCAACATCACAGCCCCCTAAACCCCTTCGGCCCTAAACCCTTCAATTCTGGACCCCTAAACCCTTAACCTCTGGACCCCTAAACCACTAACCTCTGATCCCCTAAACCCTATAGAAGGGGAAAAAGGGGTACTGCTGGCGGAGACTCTGAGGCTTTCGGGGCGTTTGGCCTTAGGAGCAGCCAGAGACTCCCATATCCCTTAACTAAGGAATATTCCTCAAATTATAGTAGGATCCCGAATATGATTTAAGGAATACTCCTTAATTAAGGGATATTGGAGTCTCTGGGCAGCGGTCGAGATTCAGAGTTTGGAGTCAGCTTGAAGGTGTAGAGCTTCAGAGGATTCCTTTCTGGGTCAATGTAAGGGTTCTTATAGGGATTCTATAAGGATTGCTGTAGAGGTTTTGAAAACGGTGGCTAAATGGTTCCACAAAAAAGGTATAGGCTTCAAAGGGTTTAGGGCTTAGGCTTTGGAGCGGTTCCAAGAGACTTTACAACAGTTAGGATTTTGTGTTTCCCTGATTTAGGGATTTGTGATTTGGGGATGAGGCTTAGGGTTTATGTGTTGATGGGTTTCGGGTTCATGAGGCTTCAGGTATAGTGATCTAGGGTTTAGGTTTTACAGGTCTGTGGATTTACGATGAGTTTAGAGCTCCTAGGTGTTCAGAGTTTACAGGGCTCAGGAGGTACGGCCGAGAGGAGTTGACTTCTGCAGCAGAGGAGTACCGCGAGCTTGCACTGGTCAATGAGTGTTCTGGCTTTCAGGGTGTAGGCCAGGCCAACAACTAAGTTGTAAGGTCTAGCGTTGAGTTTGCTGAGTTGTCCGTTAAGCCCCTTGAAAATATTTTTATTATGGTTCTCTACAAAACCGTAGAGAAATTTTAAACAATAATCCCAAAGGACAACCCAGTTTGGGGTTACGGCTTAGGATTACGGTTCAGCCTGTGAGGCCCCGAACCTAAGGCATTCGTCTTCAATCCTGGGCGCTAATCCCTAAACCCTAAACCCTAAAAAAACCCTAAACCCTGAACCCTAATCCTAAACCCTGAACCCTAAACCCTGAACCCTAAACCCTGAAGCCTAAACCCCGAACCCTAACTAGCCCCTAAACCCCTGAACCCTAAACCCTAAACCCTGAACCCTAAACCCTGAACCCTAAACCCTGAACCCTAAACCCTAAACCCTGAACCCTAAACCCTGAAGCCTAAACCCCGAACCCTAACTAGCCCCTAAACCCCTGAACCCTAAACCCTGAACCCTGAACCCTAAACCCTAAACCCCAAACCCCTAAACCCTAACTAGCCCCTAAAGCCCTATGAAAACCGCTGAGTGCCCAACACCACAAGGAAGCAGCGAGGCATCGCATAGGACAGCCAGGAGAACCCAGAGACTCCAATACCCCTTAATTAAGAAAGAAACCTTAAATTATAAGGGCCCCTTTAAGGGTTCCTATAAAGGGATCTATAGGGTATTAGGGTTTATTTAGGGGGGTTCCAATACCCCTTAAGTAAGGAATATTCCTTAAATTATAGTAGGACCCTTATGATATGATTTAAGGAATATTCCTAATTAAGGGATGTTGGAGTCTCTGGGAACACCGTTGGGCGGCCGGATTACCTACGTTAAAAGGTAGGCTACTTTAAAGCGCTGGTTTTGGCCCTGGGGGGCCTGGATACGGCAAGGCTGAAAACCGGCATCTGGGAAGTTGTTTCGGCGGCTCAATTTCGATGATGCTTGTCGTTGGCTCTTTTTGATGCTTTTCACTGCCCGAAACGCAGCTGATTTCATAGCCGCTCGTGTCAAAAGTCGGGAAATTCCGAGGGCTTACATGGGTGTGTAGGGTATGCATGCAGGGTTGTTCAGCACCTTTGCTTGGAGGCATGCTTTTCGTATGGTTGCGGTCTCAAGATACATCATTCTCTTGACAGTTTTGGGCACTGCAAAATCTCTTTGGGCAAGCAGAAACACATCGTGGCACAAGCGAAAAAAAGATGCCTCATGCAGTGTAGGAGTGTTGCTTGTGTTCGGGTTTACGGAGGCTGAGAAAAACTTCGGAAAAACTTGTTTAAGTGTTGCAAAACACAGGAAAGGCAGCTAGTGCATTCTATGTTCAACTATCCATCTGCAACAGCACCTAATGCTTCGTTGCAGGTCTCGGGTGCCTAAACGATTGGCACTTTTTCTGGTTTGGCCCATTGTATATTCATCACTGTTGTCTCCTACTCAAGATTTCTGAGCTTACACAAGTTTGGGGCATGCTGCTGAGAATAAGTATTTCTTATCCAATCAGTAGTTAGAGTGCCTTTCCGAAGGCGACTCGAACGACGATAGGTGCGAAGCAGCACGAGTGCCAAATCTGCCAGTTTGAGGCGACCGGAGCAGTCTGCTGCTGAACGAAGGTGTCGTCGAAAGACCTGGCACAAAGCAAGGAGGCTTGACGGTCTACTTTCAGAAACTTCTTTAGGGTCAGCGAGGCAGACACAGCAGCAATCGAACTCTCATGGGTTGTGAGTCTTTTCTCATCGCTCGCGAAGCCATCGTTGTGCAAATCTCACGGTCGACCTACTTTCATTCAGCGAGCGGCCTTGGAGTGACCGGCTTCTCAGTCAGAGCCAGGAAGGTGGCAAGAGACAGCCTCTGTTTTGCCGGCACGAACGACCTCTCGAGCACCTGGAGCATGATCTTGTCGTACGGCATCACTTTGGCCGAAAGCTGAGTGGCCATGTCGCGAACAGACCTGGCAGTGATCCTCCGTCTCCCGCACGAACGTCTGCGGGGAGACTTTCCAGAGCGACGTCTTCGGCGGGCAGAAAGTCTCGAAGAAGGTCACGGCCGCCGCCCAGACGTCTGCTGCGAACGTCACTCGCACCTCCAGGGGTCATGTGAGTAAAGGGCTGAAGGGGCCGGGGTTCTGCACTAGGCTTCGAACTCTTATTCAGAAACTAGGAACTAATCGAAATTTTGACGAGTATTGGGCGATTTCAGTGGCTTCTGGAGACTTCAGATTGTCTAGTTATCCCCACACCTGGCTGTCGGCTGCAAGGAGGCACTCCGGGCAGCGGAAAGCTTCGCTGTAGGCCCGACTGCCGATGACCGAACAGCCATCCTGCACAACCTTCTGGGCGAGTCCGAAGTCGGCGACGGCAGCTCGGACGTCGTTAAAGACCAGAATGTTGCCTGGCTTGATGTCGAGGTGCAAAAACGAACGGCCGTGCACGTACGAGAGGCCGAGCAGGAACTGCTGGAAGAACGGCAGAAGTGTCTTGCGGTTTGTCGGCCAGGAGACTCGGTCGTCTTTGAGCCTGCGAGTGGCGGCACGCAAGCTCTCCGTGGCTGCCTCCAGCAGCAAGGCCGGCCGACCAAGGGAGCTGGTGAGAACCGCGAACGCTCGCACGACGTTTGGGTGTTGGCCGACGGCTGTGAGAACGCCGAACTCGTCCGCAACCTCCTGTCCGGCCGCAGCGACCTGTCGCATGCCCTCTGGCCCTCGGCCTTTAGCCACTTTCAGCACGAGCGGCTGGTGTTGGAAGCTTGAGCGAAAGACCATGCCGTAGGACCCCTCGCCTGCCGGCTCCAGCGGCCCCAGTGGCAACCCGAGAGTCCAAGTCCAGACGTCCAGGAGCACGTCCTGTGTGTCACGCCACTTCTCGTCGTCCTCTTCTGCCCTCCGAACGTCCTTGCTTCCCTCGTTTTGTTTCACTGCAGCAGCCGGAGGTCCCTGCCCTTTCAGAAAAGCGGTGGCCTTGTTGCGGTTGTCCTCGTAATGCTGTCTGGCCTCTGCGAAAAACCTTTTCCGAATGTCCTTGCTTTTCTTGTGCTTCCTGAGCGGAGGCAAAGCACAAGGCGAGCCGAGCTTCGATTGGGATACACGTATTTATGTGTTGGGTCTTTGGTCTCAGTCAGGATAGGGGGTCGAGTTCTGCAAGCCTCAGACGAAAACTGAAAGGCTACTACTAGAATGAAAAAATGGAAGGTTCAGGTCTGTTTGGTTTCGAGCCAAAGTGTTTGAAACCTTAGAGAAACTGCACTATCTATACCATCACGCCTTCTGTATAGACTGTATAGACATAAAACAAGCAAAAACCTTGGAAAAAAGCTGAAACGCACCTGAAACGCACCTGAAAAACTCTGAAACGCACCACCCTTTCCTAATGGGTCTTATACTTAGGGTTTACCGACTCACAATGTCTTATACAGTATAGTAATATATACTAAACACGAGAGTCCAGGGCTCTTCAGCAGATCCCGCTTTGCTATGACTATGTGAAGGCAGAAGGACCCAGCTGTGTGTCATGCTAAACACCTACTCACTGCGACTTGGCAACAGTTGTAGCCGTAAAGCACTAAAACAAGCAAAACCCTTGGAGAAAAGCTGAAACGCACCTGAAACGCACCTGAAAAACACTGAAACGCACCACCCTTAAACAATGCTTTATTCTGAAGTCTTAAATACTTAGAAAGCATCCCACTCAGCTAGGGCACCACTTCAGA